AAGTAATGAGCATGCTTCCAATTTATTGTAAAAGAAAAATTGCATTAAGTAAGTACGTGAAATACAAGATACAATGTCTTAAAAAACGATTCGTTTTCCTATGTTACTTCAATCGGTTATTTCAGATCCACCTATACTGCCTTGTTCCAAAATGCTTTTTTTTGCTAGAAATGCTTCGTTAAAGGCATATCGCAAATACTTCATTTCCTGCTTTAAAATGAAAGACTAGGTTGTAACTTTTACAAAAATATCATTTTTTCTTTAAGGAACCCTCTGCTTGCTATTTTATAGAACTTCGAAATTGCATTTTTGGTGGTAATACTCTAGAATAGAACAGTTTCATATGCTGTCTTTTTCTGCTTTTTGTACAAAACGATGCTCAAAACTATAAGAATATAACAGACACTGTATAGTGCTAAGGAAAATATATATGAAACTGTAGAAAATCGTTGTTTTTTGCAGAAAAAGGTTCAAAACCAGACGTGTTATTACACATTAGCTTATTAGCTTAAATAACAGATCAAATTACATAGGTAAACTATGGCATTTACTTGGTAAGCTATGTAGAGGTGTTGCTTTGTGATTTTTCAATGTCTTCTTGAAATTCCTTGAACACCTTTTTCGCGTATTTTCAATGCGATCAAAGTTTTTGGGTTTATAAGAAATATTTGAAAGTACAAACAATGGCCATTTTATAACGCTCATTTCTTGACAGATAAGGTAAATGATGTCCATTTTTGCCAAGATGTACGTTTTTTGTGAGAAATACGTAATTAGAAATGAGGTTATTTGCAAAATCAATGTCTTAATTTATTGTAAATTGCATTATTGCGATGAACAGTATCATAGTAACTTACAATGTATGTTATATTCATATAATTTTGAACAATCTTTTGTATAAACAAGAAGAAAACAGCTTATAAAGCAGTATTCTATACTAGAATATTGGTACCCAAAATGCAACTTTGAAGTTCTATAAAATAGCAAGCAGAGGGTTCCTCAAAGAAGAAATGATATTTTCGTGCAAGTTATATCCTAATCTTTCATTTTCAAATAGAAAATGAAATATTTGCGATATGCGCTGAAGTATAGTTCAGCCTACGTAAGTCAATACATCCCCCCCCGCCTTCAACAGGAACTTCGGTTTGTTTTTTTCAAATATATGTATAGAATTCGCACCATAAGTAACCAGTATTTGTGTGCTGTCTACACCAAAATGAGAATTTTTAGCTCGCTAACTTCAAAAATGAGGTTACGGACAATAAATGTATTTGTTGCCTTAAACGCTTACTCCGAAGTTACTTATAAGTACAAAAGTTTTCTTATTCCCTACCAAATCCATTGACCCAGTCCTCCTCATTCACATCACTGAGACCTTAGTAAAAGTTTTGAGATATTGCCACTTCCAATTTTTTTCAAAAAATCCCTATCTTTTGCTCCTTGTTTATCTGTTATGGCAATGAAGAACTTCTAACTTATGATTTTTTTCTGGGCCACAATTTTGCTGAAAACCAGCACGGTATGCTAACAGGTCCTTGTGGGGGCATTATGCTACAGACAGAACGCTTGATTTTTATGTATGCTATTTAGAGGACTATCTTAAAGCTACATCTACTCAATCAGGCAAACCATATGTTTTCGAGCGGGTGAGCTTCATGTATGAATAGATTTGTGTCTCTTAAGAACTGTCACAGATCTTGTGATCTGCACGGAACCTCAAGTGCCCCATTACTGACATACATGGTGTTAAAGGTGTAATCTGAACATCGAAAATAATATATCTTCGCAGTGGACTTAAAATTTCGTACATGAAGCACTGGTATTCTATCCAATACATGCAATACAGAACCTGGGAAATTTTGATCTGAATAGAAGAAAAAATGGAGTTATTATCAACACCACTATTTTTTTTGAAATATCTAATGCTTTTTTAAATAAGGAATGTATCAAATTTTACATGATTCGTCTGTCTAGATGATATTTTTAGTCTACTTGTTTAGGAGAAAAAATGATCGATGTTTGTTTGTCAGTGAGTCAGGTTAGTCCACGTTATGTAAACAGAAATAAATAAAACCATGTAAATTTCATTCTGTCTGTTAAGGTCGACTATAGATTTCTTTCTCGGAAACTGCAGAATCAACTTAATTGACGCCTTTCTCTTACAAATCCATAAGTTTGTTAACACTGAAAACCTATATGTTATTTGATCATAAAATGGTGGAAATTTATACATTTGACTAGTATACTTAAAGAAAATTTGTTGTATTAATATAACTCAATTTCGGTTAAAACCCAAGCACAAGTGTACACGTTTTTGGTTATACTATGTTTATTGGACATTGCCGTTATTATTTATACTAAAACTTTGTAATTGAACCAATAAACATGATTATTATTATTATTATTATTATTATTATCTTTCTTCAATAAAATTGATTGTTAAAGAATATATATTTCCTGAACGATTCACGTAACTATGGCAATATTTCTGGAAAAGGAAGTACATCTGGAAACAACAAAAAGAGTTCCTATAAACATATGTTCATCACCAGGATACAGGAATTGTAGATTTCTATCCCACTGATAAGATTGGGTAAATACATGTTGTGCATATTATAAAAATAACACTATGTTGAGATGAGATTACTATCCAAACATACTCCATATAATTTGTAATGTTAAATTACACTAGTTTCAACATATTTTCAAGGTAATATCAAAATAGCTTGCTCGTTAAACAACTATGATAAAATGATTAGCGGTAACTGAATTAATTTTAGACCAATTGCACTATTCAAATCGCAATGGAATTCTAAAGGAACGCGCTGTCGACTCACGAAAAGCTTTGCCATTATCTGCACCATGGCAAGTCATTTTTAAGTGTTGAGGAATATAATAAGCCTGTTACGAACGTTAAGAAAGTCAAGTATTGGTTCAACTCCAGATTCCAGCTTTTAGTATTTATTTTATTCTGATTGTCTTTTTGTGATACTGCGATTATGCTAGTCTTATTCACTTGCTTGTGAGAATATTAACAACAATGGACATTCACATCACTCTCCGGTCATTATCGTTGATGCCCGTAATTTGTATATGCGCGCATCAAACCACTGCATCAGCGAAGCAGATATCGAGTTTTGTGTTGATCTAGAGTATGATTTTTCTCATTTCCACTATCAAAATGTACGTAGCTTAAGGTACTTCACTTATATTGTTACATCATGCACTTCAATGGATTATCTTGTGCAATAAAAGATGAGTGTTCGTAGTATGTACAAAGTAAATACCACAAAAACTTGATAAGAGGGCTTAATAATAACTTAGACTGAAACGCTTTCATCATTCCGGAGAAAAGTGAATGTGCGCAAATGTGCAAATCTCCATTACGCAGTTTAGCTAATGAACCTTTACGTCGTCTTAAGAACACCGCTTATAGAATCATTACCTTCATGAGAACGTATCTTGCTTCTATACGGGAGGTAAATTAGCTTGGGATCAAACAGATAAAATCAACATGACCTTAGTAAAACTTTTCTAGTTTTCGAGATATTGCCAGTTTTAGGTTTTCACTACTTTTTGCTCCTTTTTTTTTCCTGTTATGGCTATGAAGAACATCTAGCCTATTTGTTTTTTCCTGAGCTACCATTAATAGTTGGTTTCAATGCGAAAACCGTCACTAATTACTGTGAAAAAAATTGTACCAGACTGAATCGGCAACTGACCTTGAAACAGGGGCCGCTGGCCCTTAAGTTCTGCATACTGCAGAACTGCCAAAACTGTCTTAACAGGAAAAAGCAGTAGTAATTTGATCATTATTTATTTTATTTTATTTATGTTATCACAGAAATAGGAACAATACCGGCTTGCCCCCGCAAGACACGGCGTCGAGTCTGTTTTGTACTAAGAAAGCATTATAATCGACCAATTGTGTACTTGTCATTTTCGTCGCGACCGCTGCGTAACATCATTAATGGGCCACTTGAAAAGGGTCTGTGCACTACTTCGACACAAGCCGCACGCGCTTGCTTTTGTCTCTCTCTACAAAATCAAATGGGCGATTTAAGCATAATAACCATGTGCTGCAATTTATACAGATCCGTACAGATCTAATGCGTAGTACTATATCTGATTGGTCGGTCGGTGCTCGGTCCTCGGCATTGCCATATTGGACTTGTCGCGTGACGTGGCTTAAAATTTGAATGCGAATAATTTTTTATTTAGGTATTTTGGGTCTTACGTTGAGTCACTAGTGACTCACTGACTGACTGTGGCTGTGCAGAAGGGTAGTGCAAGACAATGGATGTGGTTTACAGACTTGTCAGCGTGAAACGATTCTGAAAACAGACATTTGAAGAAACAATTGAGCTGAAGGTGACAGGTCGACTGCTGCCGGACATATTTATAGAAACACAGCGACATTTATACCTGAAATGACTGGATTTGTGGGTGCAACAGGAAGAATGCCCTTTTCTGCTTTCCTTGCATACTTTTCGGCGGTCAAAAGCTTGGACGGAGGTAGGTGTTACAGATTTAGTGCACCTGAGTGAAAAAATTAAGAAGCATGAAAACTCTAAGACACATCTTCATAATTCGATGGAACTGGCTTTATTGGTGACTATTAATATCAGAGCGCATTTAATTCAGCATATTGGAGAAATATACAACAACATAATGATACCGCTACAAAAAACAGGTACGTTCTGTCAAAAATTTTGCGCTGCGGTGCCACAACGAAACCGAGAGCTCCCAAAACCCGGGAATATTTCGTGGACTGATTAATTTTTCTGCTGAGCTTGATACAACCTTAAGCGAACACATAAAAATGCTTCAATATTTAAAGGAACTTCGAAAGAAATACAAAACGATCTACTGGATTGTATTCTTAAAGTTTGTCATGAAGAAATAATAGAACAGATTAACATAGCCTCGTATTTGGCGATAAAAACAAGGGACATTTCGGGGAAAACCCAACTGGTAACAATTTTCAGATACGTATTTAACGGCGAACCAGTAGAACGTTTTTGGAATTATATGAATCCCGAAAAATGTGACGCTGATACTCTCATAAGACATATTTTGAGCGTCGTAGATCCATTAATAGGAAGTTTCCCTAACAAACTAATTTCACAAAGCTATGATGGAGCCGCGGTAATGAGCGGACATCATGCTGGAGTACAGGCAAAAATTAAACAAAGATATCCATTTGCTCACTATGTGCATTGCTATGCGCATCAGTTAAACCTGATTATGTCACAAGTTGCTTCCGCAAATGCTCAAGTTCGGGTGTTCTTTGGGAATTTGAAAGATATCCCGGGATTTTTTAATAACTCTCGTCAACGTGTAGAGGTACTGAACAGAACTGTGGGAAAACAAATTCCTCAAGGAGCAACAACTCGTTGGAATTTTGATATTCTAACAATAAATGTAGTGTTTGAGAACAGAGAATCACTCGTTGAATGCAAGGAAGAAATAGAAGAAAATTCCACTAATGAAACCGTTTGCAAGGCAGCTTGCGGTATTCGCCGTATGTTGAACGATTCTGTATTTCGTGTTTTGGTTGATATTTTTTCGTCATGTCATGCCTCACGTAGACATCTTGTTCAACCAGTTGCAGAAGAGAAAAACCGAGCCAGTGCAAGTTAAAACGGCTATCGATAATTTTGAAAAATGTATTGTCGATGCGGGTAAATAAAATTGATGACATAATAAATGAAGCCAAAAGTATTTGCACTTAACCCCAAGGCAACAAAAGGAGACGACGTAATAATAGCAGTCACGATCACCGAGTTGCCGCATTAGAAGTATGCGACAGTATAGTGAATTCTACAAATGACAGATTTCAATTCAAAGATCATTTGGTAGCCGCATAGCTTTTTTTCCCCGAACACTTTGGTGAATACTATGGTAAGTTCTCTGATGACAAGTTGGAAACTACCTGCTTGGCTTATCCCGAATTAGAAAAAAGTCGTTTAAAGACAGAGTTGTCTGTTATTTATGCACGGAATGATTGCCGAGATTTACATGGAAATATGTCTCTTTTAAAATTTTTGATACAAAATAGTTTAGAGGAAACACTAAAAAAAGCTATTAGAAATTATTGTTACATCTCCTATGTCAACATCAGAGGCTGAGCGAAATTTCTAAACATTGAACAGAATCAAGACCTTTCTTCGAAATACTACGACTCAGGATCGCCTTACAGCGTTGTCGATGCTGTCGATTGAAAGGGAATTTATTTCGACCATGGAAAATTTCAACGGGAAGGTGATGGACAAATTTCCTGCCAAGAAGGAGCGCAGGATCAAACTGACATATAAAAAATAGGTAAGTTCGGATTTGCAGAACACCTGTTTTATTTTGCCACGAGCCGCCACTGCCTTGAAAACTAGCCTATTTAATGTTCTTCTAGAGATAGTATAACATTTGCACATTCTTTCTGCTAAACATTTAATCCCAAGTTTTGTCATTGAAGTCGAAATACTACAAATAAAAATATGTGCAGGCGTCTTTTGTATCAAAATCACTAAGTCATGAAACGACCTAAACATGTAATTGACTATCTCGCTCTCACATTCATTGTTTGGTCGGTAGCATTATGTCACCTCGGGGAACTGAGGTGGTACCTGCACACCGCATGCGCAAGGTAATTTGGTACTGCTCGTTGTGTTAATCCTTCACACGTGTTATTTAGCTTTTTCGCTGTTGAGGTCGCTTCATTCCTCAGTGATTTAGATACAAATGACTGCTGCAGTTATTTTTTATTTGTAGTATTTCTCATGTATTATGACATCAATGACAACACTTGAAATTGTTCATTTTTTAGTAGAAAGGACCTGCGAATGTTATACTAATTTTAAAAGAGCATTAGATATGCTAGTCAGTCTGGTGCATTTTTTCACAGTAATTAGTCAAACTTTAGTAAAGGTTTTCAAATTGAAATAATGTATTCATTTTTTTTAGCATACTCTGCAAGTTTTCAATGAAATGAATACTCGGTTGTCTCAACCAACTACTAATGGTAGATCAGGAGAAAACTCATAAGTCAGAAGTTCTTTATAGTCATAAGAGGCAAAAAGAGGAGCAAAAACCAGGGATTTTTTGAAAAAATCTAAGTGGCAATATCTAAAAAACTAGAAAACTTTTACTGAGGTCATGTTGATTTTATCTGATTGATCTGAAGCAAATCTACCTCCCGTGACATTCTGGCGTGGTATTTCTGGGACACCCTGTATATACAGGGTGACTTCGAAGTTGAGTCATTTATTTTAACAGTGAGTAGATCTGATCAAAAGAAATGTTTTTTTCCTTTACCATTTTTCTGGTAAAATTAAAGTAACAAAGTTATAGCCCTTTGGAAGTTTGAGTACCGCCCTGTCTCAATAATAATATTATGTGCTCGTGTTTGGCAACAACGGATATAATCCGCCTTATCGGTTCATCGCATCGGAAACAAAAAAGCGAAAGAATTTGGAACGATGTTTTTACAATTATTTTATTCAGTTGTATACAGTCAGTGTCAGTCGGTAACGCGTGAGTAAATAGTGGTGTCTGTTGCGTGGCTCAAACAAAATAAAAAATGGCACATGTTTATGCGGATCGGTTTCCCAATCGAGTGCAACCAACCCCTCGTGCCTTTGTTAATGTAGTACAACGGGCTCGTGAATCAGGTGACTTACTACCTCACAGGGGACGGCATGCCGGTGCTCCAAGACCTCACGATCAAATACAGGTCCGCACTGAAATACTTGTCGGGAGGATACTTTATAAAATAAGGTAAATTTTTTTTTTAATTTTTTTTTAATTTTTACACACATATTTTGGTTTATCTTCCTTCTACAATCATTATCTGAAAATTAATGACTCAACTACAAAGTCACCCTGTATATATATATATATATATATATATATCTACAAATGCGCCATCTCCGGATTTGAATATAGTAATAGATTTATTCTACCCAAGTCAATAGTCAATATAGTAGTAGTACTTTTGCATCGAAAAATGGGGTCAGGTAGGTTGAAGTTGCCCTTCCTACACAATGCTGTTATCAATTTTTCAAAGAACTATATTAGCAAAAAAAAAGGTGGTCTTACCTACCGCGCTACCGACGGTACCGGCCCTCGAAGAGCGTGGCAACCCATCACGGCGTTGCATATACGAATACACGCATCATAATTCAGTTATCCCTCAACATTCGAATCAGACAGACGTACGCTCGTTGAGCTGTTCGCGTGCATCGAAAATTTTATGTTATAAGAGTTAATTTACGGCGAAATCTATAATGTATGAGATAAGCCTAATAGGAGCATATAGTTAACAAATTTGGAAATGGAGCTAGCAACAAACATTAACAAACACCCTTCTCCACCTTATAAAACTGAATCCTGCAAAAATTGTTCGGAAAGTGATCAGGGTGCTTTGAAACATCTACCTTTTGTAAAAATTAGTATGCATTTATTGGAGCGAGGAAAAATTGGATAAAATGGCGTATCGATAGCCTCATATTACAATACGATAACGGTTAACTTACTATGCGACTTCAAACCGGAATACAGCCGAATTAGACACATTCTTTTATAGACACGGCACTGGAATGAATATTTTCTTCCGTTCTTGAACATAATGGTTATAGGATTTTTCTTTTTTAGCGAGCTCAAACAATTGTTTTATAGCAGCCAGTTCACTGGTGTGTTGACATTTGTGAGTAAACCTAACCTTACGTATGTTATTTTATACATCCTGTACACAATTCCATAAATCTGTGTATGTATTTTGGTTAAATTACAAAGGCACGAGGGGTTGGTTGCACTCGATTGGGAAACCGATTCGCATAAATCCGTGATGCATCCGGGAGCATTTTGTAAAGACTGCCCCCCCGTAAATAAGAATCATGTCCACAAGTTCAGCATTTTCGTAAACATGTGCCATTTTTGATTTCGTTTGAACCACGCAACACACTACTATTCACTTACGCGTTATCGACTGACGAAAAACATCGTGATAAACGTTTCAAATTCTTTCGCTTTTTTGTTTCCGATGCGATGAACCGGTCAGGCGGATTATATCCGTTGTCGCCAAACACGAGCATATAATAGGCAGGGCGGTACTCAAACTTCCAAAGGGCTATAACTTTGTTACTTTAATATTACCAGAAAAATGGTAAAGGAAAAAAACATTTCTTTTGATCAGATCTACTCACTGTTAAAATAAATGACTCAACTTCGAAGTCACCCTGTATACGCATGGTACACATTCTCTAGATATAGTACAGCTGAACCTAAACGCCCACCACTGTTTGTACCATAGAAATGTTTCCACCATTTTCACAATCACCCTGTAGAATGCATACATTACAGTTCACGTCTGGAGGCAAACAAGCTCATTTAGAATATTTTGGAGTCTCGGTGTGTATGCAAGTACAACATTTGATGCTATGTTTGTAAAATCTCGTCGATCATTTTTCCTTAATGTTACGTAACCTGTGAAGCTTACGCAGAAGTGAGTGAGTGCTTCATTGTTCACTTTTATCTTTACATCGTTTGGTAACGATTATGTTTAATCCCACTGTCACGATATGTTATATGCCGTCGCCGAATAACAATATTTTTGTTTTAATCTTCAATCGTTCTTTGGGTACAGCTCACACAATTTCTCTTTTTCCCCTATGTAATGTACGTATATTATTATCGTTTTCACAGAATACACTATAATTGCAATTGCACCCACGCATATAAGAGACTTTTTAAAACAGTTGAAACAAACGTCTTTGGAGTCACATCTTTAAGCGGGTATTTTGAAAATGCGAAAGAATTATCACCTTTTTCGAAATTATGATTAGCTGATGACTTCAGTGAGTTTTCTACTGAGCCATGGTCGTGAGGCTTCTGTCACTCGTGATGTTAATTTTATTGCTTTTAAGTTTTTTCATCATCCCTTAACCATACTCGTCTTCCTGGTGACCACCAATTTTCAGTCAATGTACTTGGCTCTGAAATTTGAGCGCTTGTACAAGTTTTTAGTACAACTACCTATGAAGGATTGACCATACGTAAGATATACCTAACGTGTGTACTTGTACACTTGTTGAATGCATTTTGATACAAATTGACGCTATTTTAAAGGAGAACACGAAACAACAGAGCTGCTTTCGGTTTTATTCCCAAATATTAAAATACAAAATATGTTGCAACTTATAACAACAGTCACAACCTGGACTACAATAATAGAGTTGTAAAAATCTGCCGAGAGCGTTCAAACATATGCACTTACATCAGCTCCAATCTAACGGTTATAAATTCAAACATTTCTACAAATTATACTAGACATTAG